TTGGATCCCTTCGTTTGCGCCATTCTCTCAATTTTTGTGCACACACATCAGCATGAGCTGTGTATGTGTCTACATGTTTGTTCAGTTCTCTATAATCTAGTACAGGGCGCACCTTTCCTTGTTCTTTTGTACCACGGCCATCAACGGGATGAGGCCTCTTGGAGGACCAAGCTCTTCCTCGGGATATGGAGTCAGCCATCCGTTATCCAGCCACACCTGCAATTCGCGCTGGTATTCTTCCTTGGCGTTCGGGCACCGAATATTCTGACACTTTCGGTTCTGGGAGCTTTTCTGGTGGGTTATTTTCCGACCATTTCCAAAATGCTGTCCATGTCTTAGTCCTTTGGTCGAACTCTGCGCTAAAGTCGGGCTCGTTGATCTTCAAAGTAGCACAGATGGGCGGATCAGAAAACTTGACTTCGCCTGCCTCTGTAATCGTCACGCCCAGCTCCTTAATAATGTCCATCCCAAGGAGCAGATCGAAACCTAATAACGCGCTGTCCACGACCAACACACTGACTGTGACAGGGTCACCGTTGTTAATACTAAGTTTGATGTTTCCAACTCCCGGCTTCTGAGAGCCTTTCCATCAGCCGTTAATCGTCCATCTTTTGTCTGTTCCACTGTCGGCCGTCGAACCGTTGGTGAGTGACCGAGAGCAGCCAGAATCTATTAAGCGGTACGTGTTATTCCATTGATGCGTACCTTAATCACAGGGAGCGCCACTTTCATGCTTTCGGGTGCGGGGGAAGAGACCGGCGCTGACGTCGCGTCCCCATTCCATTTCCGGGCACTTAGAGGCAATATGACCTACTTTCTGACATTGAAAGCATCGTAGATCGAGACGTGCCTTCGCGCCGACCCGCTCTTGCATTTCTTGGCGTTGATAGCGGCAGTCTCTGGCAAAATGATTCGCCCAGAGCACCCGATAGCAGGTGGCAAACGCCATGGTGATGAATGGCTGGGGTCGGGACCTTCTTTGACTTCAATTGGTTGAATAACCGCGGCCACTGGTTCATCAGACTCTTTTTAATCGATCATGACAGCACGGGCTCTGGTCAACAATTGATTGAGCGTCAGGTCTTCCATTCTGGATGATGCGCGTATCTATCTTAACATGACTGGGCAATCCAGAAACGAAGGCACATGTCATCCATTCTTCAGAAGCGGTGCGATTGGGCGGCGAGCTTCTTTAATTCTGCCAAATATCGTCTACTGTCTTGCCAGATGCAGAGCGCCGTGCCTGGAATTGGTCGTGAGGCCACGAACCGGTCAGTTCAAACGCGGTTAGTAGGCGTGCTTTATTTGCTCAATGTCGCTTTTTCTGTTCTTTACTCAGCTGCCTATACACAGCAAGGGCACCGCCATTCAATCGCAGAGGAAGAATCGATCAATCTTCGATATCTCGCGCCAATTAGCAGACCAGTTCCACCTTTTCGATCCATTCAACCACAGACTGTCCACTAGTATCACCACTGAATTCGGGGATCAGTTTTATATCGAACAGTCTTTCCGCCATCTTGCAAGAGACAAAGTAAATGCGAAATAGCTTGAAGAGTAAGCGTTCTCAAAGCAAATTTGTGGCTTTCACAACACAAAGAAAGAGAATCACTTGTAACACGTCAGGAAAATAACTCCACGAACTCCGTAGCCAAAACTGCCCGAATTTTTCCTCTCGAGTGACAACACCAACTGCTTTTATCGGCAGAACCTATTTTTTTCCATTCGTCGAAAGCGGGATAGGATGCTCCGTAATTTGCATATTAATACCTCTTATAGCGACTCCTGCGGCGAACTTGTTTCTTTTTTTTCGCTTGGGTTGACGAGGTAAGTCGCTATAAGAGTTTTGCTGACTACTTTTCTTTTTGGCAATCCCTCCCCGGCAGATCGCACACAAAACCACGAACTTTTTCCGGGGTACTTGATTATCTCGTTCACTACATATTCCTAAACAAAAATAGGAAAAAATTGTTTTTGCCTTCTTCAACTGATAATCACAAGGCATGAATCTTACATTTACCATGTGTTGACTTCTATGTTAATACTGTTTATATTCACAGATACACTTTTCTAGATATTGAGCACTCTTCCTTCATAAATATAGTAAATTTTAAACAATATTATATTTGTTTATGGAATATATATATATATATATACATACACACAAGCCACTGCCTAAAGATTTTAAGCTGAAAAGAATAACTAAACCTCACATCTACTATTTCATTATTTACCTTGAAATAATCTACTATGTGAGTTGGCATAAGTCTGTAATACATTCAATTTGTGTTTCAAACTCCCAGAGCTTCTTGGGAGCAATATATATATATATATATATATATATATATATATATATATATATATATATATATATATATATACATACACTTACTCACACTGTTATATTTATTTATATTAATACATTTTTTTATTTCAAATTAGAGTATACAGACTGCAATGGGTAAATTGTCGCCATTTTATATTTTCTTATTTTGTCCATATGTATTGTTTGTTTTTGATTTTATCGACCATGCAGTATAGTAGTTTTAGTTGGGCACTGTCTGTGAGAAAAAGAGCACTACAACACAATTCACTCTGCTAGAAATTTGGAAATGGCATGCTATACTTCTTGGCATTCACACTGGAATCTCCAATAGAAACATTTTAGTGCATTTGGGTATCAATCTGAGGACAGTGCAGAAGATTCAGAAAGATTTGGATGATATATTCAGTCAACATCATGGTGTTTGGAGTGATCACTAGTGATAGTGACATTATGCCTTCATTCATCTTCCCACAGGACCTCAGACTAAACATGGAGGCATACATCAAGTGCCTTGAGGAGGTAGTGTTGCCCTGGTGGCTACTGGAAGGCCCTTTGTTTAGCAACAGGATACTGCACCATACCACAGAAGCAGTCATGGCTGTCACTCTTTATATCTGGCCACCTAACTCGCCAGACTGCAACACCCTTGATTACTATGTGTGGGATGCAGTTGAGCAAGCGATCATCAAAACTCCTTTAACACCAAAGATGAATTGAAGGCAAGGATTATGGCAGTATTCACTAATTTAAACAATGAGACTGTCCAGAAGAGTTGTAAGAGATTTTGCAGTTGTTTCAAGGCCATGATTGAAGCCAATGACAATTTTATTGAATAAATTTACTCTTTAGTATTTCAAGATATTTTGGTGTAATTTTGGTAAATATATCTGTTAAACTGATGTTTTTGTGTAATTTAAATAACAATTTATCCATTGCACCCTGTAGTTAATGACATTCTGTGAGTGCATTTGTAAATGATTTCATAATACTTTTTCATGTTGATAAACAACTTTCTTTTTTGTGTGTATGAGGGGATGCTGAAAAGTTCTTGACTTCAGCTACTTCTCGAAATCTGACTAAATAACCAATCATCAGAATTTCTTGTTTGTTTTCTGTATCCACTCATGGCCAGACTTGAATTTTAGCACTCCCATTGTATATGTGTAGAATATCTAAATCCATTAGATATCCAGATATTTGAACCAATTCATGCTGAGTAAAAAGTATGAATATGAGCATTCTTGTACCCTTCGCACTACTTGATATAGTTTTATTACTGGCATATCATAATAGGTCTGTTATTTGGAAATTCTGTTTCAGTTTCCTACTCTATAATGATTTATCCTCATATTTGTTATTCTAAATAAAATTGAGATTATTGTTAAAAAATGGAAAACAATTCAATACATGCTCATGATTAGTTCGGGTTTTTTTTTTTTTTTTTTTTTATTAACAATTCTACTTAACACTTTTTTTTCATTATTCCAAGAATTGTTTGAACTATTAATCTCATTCTTCTTGTTGCCTTTGTTACCATAATATTCTGTCCTGGGTATGACAATAAACCACATCTGTATCCTGGGTCCAACAGCAAGGCCTCTGATCAGGAGGTTTTGAGAAGCATAGAACCACCTCTTAATTGATGGTGTTCTCAGGTCCACCATGACCTGGGGTGGTAGCACCTGTTAGGGTCCCAGCTATGGGCAAATAGTTAAGCCCCAAACTGGGGTCAAAATACTATAAAAATGTAAAAATAGGTTTTAATAACAGCAATACATTTTTTGAGGAAAAAATTTTACCAGCAATAAAAATGTTGTCGGCATTAAATAACCCATTGAGGTTGATATGCCGTAAACCAAACCAAACCAAACCATAATGTTTTGGCTGATCCATTATATGGACTTTTTCAGATTTATAATTCATAGGAAAAGAAGGTGACTTTCTTTTTTCTTTTTTTTTTCTCATGGTAGTTGTCACAAAAACAAACTCTACCATGAAAAAAAATTGTGTAGATGTTGGGCAATGTAATGGATAATAGCTCAGAACAAGAAATCAGTCAGTGAGCTGAAGTTAAATTTCAGTTGAGTTTACTACATACACTCTTACACTAATACCCTTGGGAAAGGTGTAACTCCATCTCTTCTCCCTCTCCAACTATCAGTTAATTAGTAGGGTAGACTGCTCTTCAGCCTTTGGTGGCAACCAGTCTAGGAGAAAGACAGCTCTGGATTAAAAAATAAAGCAAAAAGATAAAACCCTAGTGTAGCACATACTATATAGCCAATGACAAGATGATGAAGTTCACAATGGCTATTTAGTCTTGATTTCAATCACCCTACAATTCTGTCGATGTATCATTATTATATGATAGAGTAGACCATGAATGGTAACCAGTAACAAAAAAACTGTTTCCTTTCAAATAGTACACCTGCGGAATCGATCAACTGAAACATTGTGATAACTACGAATACAACAAAAATGATATCAGTTGTCCAAATAAAGAATTCAAACTCAAAAACATGTCTTCACCATTTGTAACTTTAGTGAAATTATTTGAAAGATTTTATATTTGACTCTCTTTAAAACTAACTATTGTTCTTCACTATATTTTCCCCAATCTTTAATAATTTTTTTTTGCTTTTCAGCTAATTCTTCCAAAAATGATGAATGGCTTATGGTGGATAATATTGGTGATATTCCAACAGTAACTGTCACTGATGCTTCAAAAAGTTTTGAACATACCAAAAGTTTTGACTCTGCAAAAAGCTCAGAATCACTAAAGAGTGGAGACACAGTCAAAAGCAGTGATACTCCTAAGACCCCTGATGCTACCAAATCTCAAGACAGTGATAAAACACCTGACTCACCAAAACTAGTAGAAACTCCCACCAAGCAGTCAGAGACTTCTAAACAATCAGAAGGCAGCAAGATAGATGCTTTAAAAAATCGTATTCAGGACAAAGGAAAGGGTGCATTTAAATGGAAACTGAAAAAAACGCCAAAAGGTTCTGAGTCCCCAAATTCTGGAGGCAATTCATGTGAGAAATGTCGTCAGGTAAATACTCAAAATTTTTTATTTGCTTCATTCAGAGTACATGTGTATGTAATGTGAATATAGCTACATGAATATAGATGCTGGTATGGACAATGAAAATAGATTCAAAACTTTAACTGCATAAAAAATAAAAGTTGCAAACACTTTAAAAAGAAATATTATTTTGAGAACAGATCAGGAAATATTTTACAAAAAAGATCATATTGCTGCTTTACATAGGTTTTAAAAATTTTATTTTTTATAATATGGAAAAAATTGGACAAATTTCACAATATTAATAGTAAATAGAATGGCTTCTCATCTTTATAACTTGCTGCAATCATTTTCTAAAGATTTTGAGATTTGAACAAGTCTTTTCTGGGATTTTCTTCCATTTTTCAATGGTTATACGTTCTAATTCCTGAAGGTTTTTTAGTGAACTTTCAATTTTTGGCATAGGTTTTTCAGTCAGGGCTCTTGTGTATATGTCTCTCTCTCTCTCTCTCTCTCTCTCTATATATATATATATATATATATATATATATATATATATGTATGTATGTATACTGGCTGCATGGTCAAGTGGTTAGAATGTTTGCTTTCAGAACATGAGACCCGGGTTTGAATCTCACCATGGTTGATTTGTCAGGAAGGAAACTTCCTGATGTTATTATTCTGGAGACGGAGGTGTGGGGTGTGTGGTACCTTTGGAAAGTGCTTGAAACCATACCATAGGTTGACCCAAGTCTTTGAGTTAATTGGATAGATGGAACACTTGGCCATTGATAGCTGTGCTAGCACAAAGTCACAAGTCATCGTGACTGAGGGTTTGAATGTGCTGGACTTGTTCAGATTGTTGATCTTGCTAGATAACATGCTCTTTCCCAGAAACTGTAACTAAAGTCTGCTCAGCATAGTTGCAGTATAAACCACAGGTGGGGTTTGTGAGTGTTGAACAAAAACACATATGTGCCTGAGCAAGCGTCTGCAACAGGGATTGGCTAGCCACTCTAATAGACAGATTATCCTCGAATATGAGTGGCTAGCTATTATATATATGTGTGTGTGGATCTGTTTGTATGTGTGCGTGTATATGTGTGTGTGGATCTGTTTGTATGTGTGCGTGTATATGTATGTGTGGATCTGTTTGTATGTATGTGTGCGTGTATATGTATGTGTGGATCTGTTTGTATGTATGTGTGCGTGTATATGTATGTGTGGATCTGTTTGTATGTATGTGTGCATGTATATGTATGTGTGGATCTGTTTATATACATGTGTGTGTGTGTATATATGTGTGTGGAACTGTTTATATACAAGTGTGTGTATATATGTGTGTGGATCTGTTTATATACATATGTGTATGTGTATATATGTGTGGATCTGTTTATACATGTGTGTGTATATATGTGTGGATCTGTTTATATACATATGTGTGTGTGTGTATATATGTGTGGATCTGTTTATATACATATGTGTGTGTGTATATATGTGTGGATCTGTTTATATACATATGTGTGTGTGTATATATGTGTGGATCTGTTTATACACGTGTGTGTGTGTGTGTGTGTGTATATATGTGTGGATCTGTTTATATACATGTGTGTATATATGTGTGGATCTGTTTATATACGTGTGTGTGTATATATGTGTGGATCTGTTTATATACGTGTGTGTGTATATATGTGTGGATCTGTTTATATACGTGTGTGTGTGTGTGTGTATATATGTGTGGATCTGTTTATATACGTGTGTGTGTGTATATATGTGTGGATCTGTTTATATACATGTGTGTGTATATATGTGTGGATCTATTTATATACATGTGTGTGTGTGTATATATGTGTGGATCTGTTTATATACATGTGTGTGTGTATGTGTGTGGATCTGTTTATATACGTGTGTGTGTATATATGAGTGTGGATCTGTTTATATATATATATGTGTGTGTGTATATGTGTGGATCTGTTTATATACATGTGTGTGTATATATATATGTGGATCTGTTTATATACATGTGTGTGTATATATATGTGTGGATCTGTTTATATACATGTGTGTGTGTATATATGTGTAGATCTGTTTATATACATGTGTGTATATATGTGTGGATCTGTTTATATACATGTGTGCGTGTGTGTATATATATGTGGATCTGTTTATATACATGTGTGTGTGTGTATATATATATGTGTGTGGATCTGTTTATATACATGTGTGTGTATGTATATATGTGTGGATCTGTTTATATACATATGTGTGTGTATATATGTGTAGATCTGTTTATATACATGTGTGTATATATGTGTGGATCTGTTTATATACATGTGTGTGTGTGTGTGTGTGTATATATATATATATGTGTGTGGATCTGTTTATATACATGTGTGTGTATATATATGTGTGTATGGATCTGTTTATATATGTGTGTGTGTATATATATGTGTGTGTGGATCTGTTTATATATGTGTGTGTGTATATATATGTGTGTGTGGATCTGTTTATATACATGTGTGTGTATATATATATGTGTGGATCTGTTTATATACATGTGTGTGTATATATATATATGTGGATCTGTTTATATACATGTGTGTGTATATATATATATATGTGTGGATCTGTTTATATACATGTGTGTGTATATATATATATATGTGTGGATCTGTTTATATACATGTGTGTGTATATATATATATATGTGTGTGGATCTGTTTATATACATGTGTGTGTATATATATATATATGTGTGTGGATCTGTTTATATAAATGTATGTGTATATATATATGTGTGGATCTGTTTATATACATGTGTGTGTTTATATATATATGTGTGGATCTGTTTATATACATGTGTGGATCTGTTTATATACGTGTGTGTGTGTGTATATATGTGTGGATCTGTTTATATACATGTGTGTGTGTGTATATATATGTGTGGATCTGTTTATATACATGTGTGTGTATATATATGTTTGGATCTGTTTATATACATGTGTGTGTGTGTGTATATGTGTGGATCTGTTTATATACATGTGTGTGTGTATATATGTGTGGACCTGTTTATATACATGTGTGTGTGTGTGTGTATGTATATATGTGTGGATCTGTTTATATACATGTGTGTGTGTGTGTGTGTATGTATATATGTGTGGATCTGTTTATATACATTTTTGTGTATATATATATATATATATATATATATACATGTGTGTGTGTATATATATATATACACATGTGTATATATATATATATGTATATATATATATATATATATATATATATATATATATATATATATATATATATATATATATATATATATCTGTGTGTCTACCCACAAAAAACTACATTATGGTGGTGGGAAAGTGACTGAAGCTGAGATACTAAATCTAGAACAATGACATTGCAGATTCTTCTTTGGATTTTATCAAGAATCTCTAAATATATAACAGGAGCACCAGACCACATGTGGCAGTAATGTTCAAAGCCTTGTTGAATGGTAAACTTGTAAGTGAGAAAAATTGTCTAACCATACACAATGAACTAACTTTCCTAGTAGCAAACTTAGCAATTGATTCAATAATGTGTATATACAGAAAGAAGACAAAAGTAGACACTTGCATTTTCAAATCAGTTTTTATTCAGTGACGTAAATCAATTTATTAAATTTTGTTAAACTCTGTATTAAGAAGTTTTACTTTCAGGTATTAAATTCATCAGATCTACTGTTTGCTTATTTATTATGCAACTGTACTGCATTCAAAATATGAATTAAATTTTTTTTGTAGAAGGTTTTCTGGGCAATATTCTTTCTTCATGATCTAAAATGGCTAAGGCAACAGTGTCCATGTCAGGAGACTTTTGAACCTGCTATTCTTGAGTACTTTTCTGCTCTGTAGATGGGGCTCCACCCTTCATGAAAAGTATGCTGTTATTAATGAATATTGGGAAAAGTTCTCCCACATAACTGATTCATATTTTTCTGAATTGATATTCTTTGTGCACTTCAGAACCCTTGAATGTTAAATATTCAAAATTTTTTACAACATCATAGTAAAAAAAATCTATGTTTGATATTAGGCTGCAAGTGATTCAAATTAAACACTTTGTTAGGCAATCTAATTCATTTAATGCTTAAAAATTGAGTAAATAAGGTTTCATCTGAAAAGTGGTCAGGATATCAAAACCAAAATTGTCTGGTTAACAATCTCAACTGTTCATTGCTTTTCTGTTTCAGTTGATTGATTCATGAAGTGGTTTTCTTTTGGGTTTTCTGGCATAATAACTTGTTTGATGATAATACTATATTGCCATTCTCAATTAGATTTGGGTCTACTGTGCCATATCTTTTACCTCACAATGAGCATTTTTTTTTTAATTTTTTTTTTTTTTACAGTGTCCCATCTCATTTCTGATGACTCATATTAGCCTGAATGAGATACAGTGGTTTTCTTTCCTTTATCAATGAATTGTACAATCACATTGTTCATAGCGAAAAGTGAAATTCTTAATTTTGATTTGATGCTGACTTATTTCGCCTTTTGGATTCAGCAATAAATCAACAAGTTTACAAAATCTGAGTTCCTAGCACACAAGGCATTATGAAATTATTGTTCAGTTCTTGTACTTGTGTTTTTAAAATCAAAAATTGAGTAATTACCAATGCGGGTATCTTTTTATTAATTTCCAAATCTAATTTATAGATCTACAATTTGTCCATTCATTGAATATTGATGCTATATCTGATCTGGTGATCCAGCTATATATCTCAAGATTCTCAACAAAATTCAAAGAAGGGTCTGTAATTTAATTGATCCTGACCTGGTATCTTGACTAATGCCACTTTCCAATTGCTATGAGGTGGCTACCCGATGTCTTCTATAAATATTTTCATGGTATTTGTTTTTATGATCTCTCCTCTTTGGTATGAATTTAAATGTACTACTAGGTTGGCAATTATTTTTTTGTTTTACTGCTGAAGTAACTACGTATAACTATAAGTTCTATTCTAATAGTTTCATTTTTTTTTGCAATTCTTGCCTGTGGAACTCACTTCCAGCTTCTTGCTTCCCTGCCACATGATTTTAAAAAAATTTTTGAATTCAATGCCAATTGCCATCTTCTGTTTTTCTGAATCCTGTTCTTTATCTTCACTAAAGTCTTCTCATTCTTTTTTACTCCCAGTAACTCTTCATGTCTTAGTGGTATTATCATCTTGCTTTGGTTAAAATGATAAAAAAATAAGTAAAATAATAGTGTTTATTTACATATGTTATCCTGTTTTATATAGAAGGACAGAAGACAGGAGCTACAAGGTTCAGAAGGTTCACATTAGCAAGAGAAACTACCTCGCTGGTAAGAAAAATTGATTCAAGGTATATCATAATATATTCCAGGACAGAAAATATACAAAAAAATTATATAGAGAGTATACTTATCATTAGGTTGTTCATTCTTTTTCTGTCTCTCATTCATTTGTTCAAGTGTATTCTCTGACAGAATTTCTTCGTTAAACCTTATGTAGTATGTATCTCACTCCAGATCATGCCAAAATATACTTTACACTCAGTTTGATATTAGAGAATACAGGTGCATCAGCAGGTTGACCTAATAGATAACCTACTAGCCACCAAGTGTAGATCTGTACCTCACAGAATGTTAGTGGCTGTCCTGATATGTGAACACATGATAGGCATGTGTGGGAAAGGACTGTATGACAGATATAGATATATAAATATTGGTCTCTGCCAAGAGAGATGATAGTCTCTCCCAGACATCACACATAAGAATCATGTTTGGGATGAGGGTTTGGGGCTGCATACACACTGGCCAACATAAATTAATGAGGTCTGGAATTGAATGTAATATTAGGAATGAGAAATCAAGTCTCATGTTCTTATTTTAATGTATGAGGATACTTCATTAAATCTTATGATGAACAGCTTTTACTGTCATTAGACTGTAGGAAGTAACCTATAACTTATTTTCATTTTTATCTCTTTCTGTTTTTGAAATTTATTCTTAAAAAATTGATTTCTTTTCTTCTTACCCTTTCATTAAAATACTAAGCTAATTTTCTCAAGTAAAGATAAAAGCAAATGATATAAAAATAGAAACCTTGAAATATCTATAAAGATATTTGCTATCTCCAATAAAAAAAAAATCATTTTAATTTTTTTTTTGTTCATTTCTACAGAAAATGATATGAACAAATTCATTCATACATATTTCTTTCAGATTTATTGCTTTTATGTGCATATATTAAATACCACTTTTGATTTACTTTGTTTCATTAATTTTAGCAATTTTATGATTGGCCAAGCTTCATATAATTTTGCATATTTTTTGCTCCTAATATTGCTTGAATCTTTTTTTTTTTAAATCTCAAGTAAATTTATCTTATGTTTATCAAGATGAAAGAATAAGATGAATGCTTGACAAAGAGTTGTTTATTATTATTCATTATTCTTGGAGATTATTTATGAATATATCCACCACTTTTATTTTTTTTATCTTTTTCTTTTAAAATATCATATTATAATTCTTCTTGTTCCTTTGTTAGTAAATTAGTTAGTATGTGTTATGTCTTGCCAATACCTTATAAATAATGGACTATTCCTTTTTGATTGCCAGGAAAGATGGTAAAAATATAGTAGAGATGCTGTTTGGTTTCAGTGAGAAAAAAAAAAGAATGATGATAGAGGAGGTGATAACACTTTCATGTGTTTAATCTCTGCTTCAGTTAAATTAAAAACTTGTCAATTTCAAATCTTTTTATTTGTACCCTCTTACTTCTTTAAATAATGGCTTACATTCATACTTAAGAGTGTTATTGCAGTATTCTGTTAAAGTCGTTAAGCTCAAATATTTAACAATGCAATAAAGTGAATTCTACAAGTATTTTATAGTTTATTCAATCACTAACATAAGAATTATGATTCATCAGGAAATACAAATAGGAAAACCATTAAATTTTTGCTGGTACTACTAGTATCAGTAATTATTTAACTTTGTACTGTTAGCTTTTCATCTATAGAAGAAATGCGTATTAAATATACACCAAAAAATAAAATCAATGTTTTCAGATTCAATGAATTTGCTGTGATGAATTGTGCTTTTAGTAAAACTCAACTCATATTTTCTTATGTTTTAAAAGTTTAGCAGTATTTTCATAAAACTCTTTATAATTCAATCAGAGGAACAAGTAACAATTCTAAAGTTAGAAAATAGTTAGAAAAAAATGATAGCGAGTTCTAGATAGTAACATAAAATGATAGCTAGTGTAACATAAAATGATTCTAGTGTAACATAAAATGATAGCGATAGTTTCTAGTGTAACATAAAATGATAGCGAGTTCTAGTAAATAAAATGATAACGTAAAATGATGATAGCGAGTTCTAGTGTAACATAAAATGATAGCGAGTTCTAGTGTAACATAAAATGATAGCGAGTTCTAGTGTAACATAAAATGATAGCGAGTTCTAGTGTAACATAAAATGATAGCGAGTTCTAGTGTAACATAAAATGATAATGGATTTTGCATAATTTTTAGTTTCATTTTTCTATTCATGCTGTAGCATTTTAAGTTGTTTTTTTATGTTAAGTTTTGTTTTTTATGTAAAATATTATATTTTTATACTACTTATCTTTGTCTATATCCTTACAAGCATGTATCATAGAGCTTGAAAATGCCTAATTATCTGTTTCTTTGTTGAGATGAACATTCAAATTAAGAAGCTACTTTAATTCTTTATTTTCTTACTAAAATTAATGAAGCTATTCATTATTATCCTGACTTGTAAAAATTTTTTTTTTTTTTTTTAATTCATTTGGCTGAGTATTCAAGAAATGGTTTTATAGTCTGATTAGTTCTTACTGTGTACTGCATAAGACTTACTTGACCTACTAATGAGATGCTCTTATGTTTCTAGCATTTGCCATGTTTACTAGTATTTTAGTTTGCTATACAATTTTTATTGATCCTTCTGTGTCGACCAAAGTTTAAAATTAGCTTCTTTAAATAAAAGATGTTTTCTTTTTTTAAACAGAATGCATTGTCAGTTTTCTGTTATTTCTTTTTAAATGTCGGCATCCAGGAAGTGATTCAAAATAAATGATGTGAGCAAAAAGGGTGTTGGTGGAACCAATACATTTTCCACAATGTTAATTTTACTGGATCTTTTTCAGATTTATTTAGTTAGCCTAATAATACTCTATTACTGAAAGACATGGAAATATGATGATATAATTTTTTTTTTAATCTTTCAGTATTTTATTCCAATACTGCATTTTTCTGATTAGTGTTGTGAATTAATCATATTGGCTTTTAAGACTGAAAACAAAAAAGGATTTTCAAATTGAAAAAACACTATGCTATTTGCATAAATAAAGAGGAAGACTTTGATATTCATGCTGCTCTGATGTTGATTCTTTTAAGGGGTTCCAGTCACCCACTAATTTCAGTGGTCCGATTTAAATATTGGTATTGTAGGATTCCAGTCTATCTCAGTTTTTGAAACAACCAAAACATTTAAAGTTATATCTCTCTCATAAGTAAAAGAATTTGGGTTTTGCGCTTAATTGCAAAAGTCAGAAAAATTACTAAGTTTTAGTTCTCTCAAAGTTTTTGGATGAGTCTGTTTGAGAAAATAGAATTAGTTTTTGGATGAGTCCCTGAGGGAATAGAATGAATTTAGTACATTTAAACTTGTAATATTAACCTGATTTCTTTTATTTAATTGTAATTGATTGATTGATCCATTCATTTATTTTCTATGGTTTATCAACCCTTTGAAGGTTATTTAAAGCCAAAAAATATTTTTAGACTGCAAGAATTTTTTTGAAATAACAATGGTTTAGTGATACAAGTCTTACTAATTAAACCATAGCTGGGGGAGAAGAGGTAGATTTATATTTTCCTTTGTATGTAAGTGAATATAACAAACCCAATGTAAATTGGAACTTGGCTCTCTGATTAATAATTCTAAGCCCCTTTTCCATTATACTACTCACACATCCAAGCCTACAGCACCTGATATTCCCTGAGAGGTTACTAATCTAGGTACTGACCAGGCTTGACATTGCTTAACTTTGGTGATCTTATGGGAACTGGTGTTTCAACATGATGTTTTTCAGTTGAAGGGAAAAATTTAATTTCTATATATGAGTAAATAGTCACAATTATTAAAAATTTATCTCTTATGCAAAATCCTTAAGTTACATATTTGTGAGTTATTATTATTATTTTATTTATTATTTGTATTGAGCTTAGTTTTAGAGTTTTTGTAATTCACCTATTCAGAATTATTTTTATTTTTAAGCAAGTTTAAATCAGGTCAGGGTAATGACCATTATCTTTGTTTTGCTTTTTTTTAAAATTTATTTTCATTAATTTAGTTTTTAAATTTTTCAATGTCTGTGGTGATTAGATGCATGATAATATACCAGGGTACGGCCCCAAGTTTATAGATGGTTAATGCTAAGTCATTTGCACTGGGCAATAGCTTTTGTAGAGAAAGAAACAACAACCTATACTATTTAAATATATTTAATATTCAAATAGAGAAGGAGAAATAAAAAAAAAATGTTTGCAGACAGTATGCATCTGCAGACTTAGCTTGGGAGAAAAGGCATCCTAGTATCTTGATAACAGGCTTCATTGAAGAAGTGATCCCTTTCAGTCCATGTCTAGCTTCTTTAGATAGTAGTAATTTCTCTTAAAGTTCCCAACTTCATTCTTCCATAACCTGATGCCACTGTCTAGGGCTTGTGGTAAAGGGTGTAGCCTGCTTTGTGCTACCTGAGTAGTGTGGTGGAAGAAGAAAAAGAGGATGGATCTTTGAATTTGCTTTTATATGGCCAGAGTTGCATGACCTTTACAGAGGCAGTGATTGGTCCATTCTTTAGCCATTCAGCAACCTTGTTTTATTCTTATTTTCTGATTGATTATTCTATATTCATATAAACCATAATTTAAATAAAACATTTTTTTTTTACTGAGCTATCATTTCATTTTGATACAGGAATACATAAATCTAAAGGATAACCATTCAGGTCTCAGCCTTCAACATAATCCATTTATATATTTTTAAAATTTTCTCTCTGAGTTATTTGTTTTAATACCCAAATTTTATCTATGGTGCAGTGAAATATTTTCACCAGTTGTAAGCTGCTTTCCTACTTAACAAATTTTGGGTTAATCTATTTTGGGTATTGCTATATCACTGTGCTTGTTATGTGTATATAAATATGTATAAGTGTGTGTGTGTATGTGGATCAAGGGCTCATTGCAAATACTATTCTGTAGTAATATTTTTAGAAAAGGAGTAAACCCTAATTTTCTTGCACTTTTTTCCATTACTTGTCATCATTATTTGATGTTATCTTATCCTCAACATGATATACAAACAAGAGAATAAATTGATTCTTTACAAGCCTTGCTGTTTATAATCTAATTTTATGCACTAGCATTCTCATAGTAAATTAGAAACAAAAAGGGCAATTTATAATCATTAAACTATTGTTGTCTTTTCAAAAGAAATAAAGAAAAACCAGATATTGAACAAAATCAATTTGGGTTAGCAACTTGCACACGTAACAGTTGGCAAGAGCTATTGTATACAATAACATATCAAATGGTAATCAATGTTGTGTTTTATTTTTTTATTTTTATATTTTATATCAAAAAAGAAGCTGCATTACCTGTAAATGAAACATAATGTTTTATTTTTCTGCTGAAACTGGAAAATGTGTTTTCACAAGAGGGACAAACAATTCTCTGATTGACTGTTTTAGAATCATTTCTGTAACATAAGTATAGTAAACTGATATACTATCTCAAAGGATGTGGCAATCACATTGCCTGTTTTTTTTAAAGTTTGTTCAAGTCATTTCGTAACCTAATGATTATATTAGCCATTTCCTTTTAAGGAAACATTTGGCATTCATTGACCAAGCAGCCATTGGTTGAAATTTATAAAATCTTTTTCTCAAAACAATTTTTCAGAAAAATAGGTTTCCAGTAATTTTTATTACTCTTTCTAGTATTGATGGGGTTTCCTTACTAACCTTTTATTTGAAGTAGTCTGGAACATCAACATCTTCATTGTTATTATTTTCTCTTTGAGTTACATGTGTTATCCATTTTAGATGTTGCTTCTGTTGTAAGTCCTCAAGTGATGAAGTTTCTGTTATCTGGTACAGTTTTTGTGATTTTTAGTGCCAGTCTATGACGTTCAGAGAAGGATGGTCCTCTCAAAGAATTACAGGTTTCACTTAAAGTGTTTTTTTTAACTATTAATCTAAGAAAGCAGTTGTATACAGCTAAGAGTTTAGATATTTTTAAATGAGTTTGATGTGATATATGACATCTATATAAAAGTAGAACCCATCTTCATGGTTATTCTAGAATATGACATTCTTGAGTATATCAGTGTCAGGGCTGGTTATTCTAGAATATGACATTCTTGAGTATATCAGTGTCAGGGCTGGTTATTCTAGAATATGACATTCTTGAGTATATCAGTGTCAGGGCTGGTTATTCTAGAATATGACATTCTTGAGTATATCAGTGTCAGGGCTGGTTATTCTAGAATATGACATTCTTGAGTATATCAGTGTCAGAGTTTAGGGTATATCTTTCCCCTCATAATTGCTTTTTTTGTTTCACTTCACCACAAGCAAGGCGACAATGCCACTAAGATAGATGGAGCTTTTGGGAGTGAAAGAGAATGAAAAGACTTTAGTAAGGAGAAAGTACAATAAAAGAACAAGATTCAGGAAGACAGAACATGGCGATTGTCATTTTGAAAATTGTACATGTCAGGAAAACGAGAAACTGGAAGAGTTCGATAGGTGAAAACTGCAAGAAAAGACACTTACAGTTGCATCTCGCTATTTCAGCAGTAAAACAATGAGACCTAGTTGCCAGTCTAGTTGTACACTTAAGTCATGCAGTCAAGAATCCCGAGATATACAGCAGGAGGGCAAGACCACATATGGAAGCAATATTTAATGCATGGATGAATGATAGATTTATAAATGTGCAAGATGGATTCTGACAAGAAAAATTTCCTGGCACAACACAGTGAACCAAGTTTCCTAGCAGTAGACCTAGCAATTGATTCATTATAATCACTCCACTTCATGTTAGGGGAAAGCATGAGCTGAAGAAGGTGCAAAGTGTTGCTGTTTTCAAGGTTTGCATCAGCCAATACCTAGTTGGGAACTAGAGAATGTTGTTGATGAAAATAAGAAAGAACATAGGTCTGAGACTAGAAATAGCTGGAGTCACCTGCACTAAGTATACTAAAGATAGTAATTCAACCTTTAGCTTTGACATTAAGTTCAGTACTTTATCATTGAGGCATTATTCTAGGATGATGACATGCTGTATATTTTAAATCAGAATAAGTACTACAAAAAGATAGTATTTGATCTTTAAACCTTCAGTTTTATTTATTTACTTCCAAGTAAAATATTTATATTGCTTTTGATTTATTTTTTAAAGCTATAATGATGCTTATTTTACACTTGATATCTTTGCTATAAATCTGTTTAGCTTTCGGCTTCTGCCCATTGATTGAGAATAGCTTCTGTCAGGTGGAATTTCTGCATTCCTTAGCTCGATGGATCAGCAACTGCAGAATAATCCATCATTCTATTCATCCAAAGTTGATTTTTACAGATGCTCTCTCTTTCTTTCTCTCTGTCACTGTTTCTTCTTGCATAGTGAAAAGCTGAGGCATTTATGCTTTTTTCGTTGTATAATGTTTTTTTAATGTAGATATTTGACCTTTTCATCAATTTTTTCATAATTCCTGATATATATATATTTTTTAATTTTATTTAAAAAGAATTATTGAACAGCATTTAAAATTTGTTAAACTGGATTTATTTTTATTTTCATCCCCAGCTTTTCTTGTTGAAATTCACTGCACGGTATAATATATGAGAAGTCGTTGAAAAATTTTTGGCCCAACCTACTTCTCAATATCAATATTTCAATGACCAAATGTCAAAATTTGTGAGAGGGACATGTTAAAGAAACTTGAGAAATAATGTGCCAAATATGTTGAACTGTAAGGTGAATATATGGTATATTTTTTAGAGCCAAATCAATAGAGATATCAGCCCTATATCTCTCTTTTTCATAGGTATGTCTGAAGCTCTAAATAGTTAGCTTTATTTACTGTTTGTTTTGGTTTATTATAGAAAAATATAATAATAATTAGTAATACACCATGCAAATTGCATTTATGAATGAAAAGCAAGTTATATGAGAAATTAAGGGCCATATGTTGAACGAAGGAAAATGTAACTTTATTTTTTTGATAATTTTTTCTTTTAGATATGGTTTCTTATCAAATTTCATCTTAATACCAGTATATTAATAAAGTACAGCCACTCCTCACTTAATGAATTGCCTGTTTAATGACTCCTGTACTAACAACCAGCTATAAAATCTCATAAAAATAAAACCCAACCAGTTGATATTGAACTTGTTGAATGAAAGTAGGTATTGTAAAAGTTGTATGAAAGTTGGTATTGTTTAATTGTGATAGTTTTCTTTCTTCAAAACAAATCAAAATAAATATAATGAATAAATAGTGAAAAATAAATAAAAATTTACTTGTAGTGTATTTACAGTATGCTAAATGAAATAATGTACAGAATATAGAGCTGACTTTTGAATTTATTTAGTATATTTACTGTACTGTATGAACATTTAGTTGGTCAAAAGTGACATTAAAGCTATCTGAAGATGATTGCCACAAACCTATTACACATGTAGTATGCTTGAAATAGTGGTCATGGAACTACTTTCAGTTAGCAACCAACTTGTTTAGGGACCAGGTTGTTTGAATGGAACCCAGTCATTAAGTGAGGAGTGGCTGTAGTTGAAATGGAAGTAATTAATTCCCCCTAGTAGAATTCTCCATGTATGGATATGTAAACTAGACTCCTTTTGGAGTACACAAAGTTAACCTGAATAAATCTTACAAGCAAATCTCTTATTGTTTATTACTACCAGGCTTCAGTCTTAAACCACGTGATTTTCAATCCATTCTTGGCCTCTTTTCTATCAAATACAAGTGCCATCTGGAATAGTCATGCAGGTGT